CTACTGCTGTTTTACCCGTTTGTCTATCTCCAATAATTAATTCTCGTTGGCCACGACCTATGGGGATCATCGAATCAATAGCAATAAGTCCTGTTTGAAGAGGCTCATATACGGAACGTCTCGAAATAATACCGGGAGCGGGAGATTCGATTAATCGAGATTCCGAAGCTGAAATTTCTCCTCGACCGTCAATAGGTTTAGCCAAGGCATTTATAACACGACCCAAATAAGCCTCACTTACTGGTATCTGAGCAATTCTTCCTGTTGCTTTTACCGAACTTCCCTCTTGTATCATCAAACCATCACCCATTAATACAACACCAACATTTTTTGATTCCAAATTCAAAGCAATGCCTATAGTACCCTCTTCAAATTCCACTAATTCACCCGCCATTACTTCATCAAGACCATAAATACGAGCAATACCGTCGCCTACTTGAAGTACGGTACCAGTATTTACAATTTTTACTTCGGTATTATATTGCTCAATACGTTCACGGATAATTTTACTAATTTCATCTGCACGAATGGTTACCATGAATATTTCTTAATTTTTTTTTAGAAGAAAAAAATAATGCCTATACTCTATACTATAGTAGATATTATAGTAGAAGGACTAATCACTTATTTTTTTCTTTCATCGTCCCAAACATGCCAATATTAGCATTGACAGTACGTAAATGTAACTCGTTATTCAAGCAACTATTCAGAGTTTCAAGAGCTCCCTGTAAGGCTTGTTGTAAAACCCGTTGTCGGACTTGATTAATCACCCTTTGTTGTTCAAAATAAATGGTTTCATTTTTGTAATTTTCTAATTGTTCCAAAGTCGTATAAATTGAATTAATTAAATTTAATTTTTCTCGTTCTATCTCAGAATAGCCATTCACTCGAAACCGATCTGCTTCCGTTTCGACTTTCCTTAAGCGGGCCTGGGCTTTTTCCAGCTGTTGAACAGCTCTTTCCCGTAGTTCTTCTGAATTTCGAATAGTTCTTAAGATTCTCTGTTTTCGATTATCTAATAAATCATTTAATGAAAGTAGATTCTCTTTCCATTCATTTCAAAATGTCTATGATCTCTTCCCGAACCAAACATGAATCTTTCGATTCATTTGGCTCTCACACTCAATTACTTATGTTATGGGAAATTTTCTTATCTTTTTTTATGTAATGAGCCTATCCTCTCTTCTCTATTTATAAAAAAAAAGATTGAAAAAATATTTAAAACGATTACCAATACAAGACCAGAATATTCGGAGGACTCTTCTGACCAAAAAAATAATTGTCAGCAAAGTTGTTTTTTTTCTTCAAATCCAAAGAATTCTTATAAATTTATACATAGGTCATCGATTCCGCATTGTATAAATGGAGGGTGAAATTGAACGTTTTTACAATTTTTCACCGTAAAGAGGGTTCAAGCTGTTTTATCGACATGAGTGTTCTATATCGAAAAATTGTAAAAATTTTTTTGAAATCATTTCATTTCTGTATTAACATAGTGGTAGAAAGAGTACTACACTGCGTCTAGACTTCAAATTGTTTACTTTAACCATGGTAATAGTCCAAAATTTTGGGTTAATAGAGAATCAAAGTGGATTTACTAATGAATCGCGAAATGCTATGGTTCTTAAATATTTTTTTTTTTTCAAAAAATAAAATTTATTGAGAAGTAATTCGCGGGATTATGCACATTTTCTTAGTTATAACGAAAAAAAAAGTGCAATTGGTTGGATCCAATCTATTCTTTGAAATTAACAACTCGCACACACTCCCTTTCCAAAAAAAACCAATACACCTAGCACTACGCTTAGATTTATTGGATTTGTTGCTAAAATATCGGTATTAAACCCGAAACTTCCGGCGGATCGCCAGTAGCCCAAGTAAAGGAAAGAATCGGTTATATTTTTCATATGATCTCATCTCCTTTTATGGATAGACTAATTATCCTTCTACAATTCCTATTTTTTTATTTTTTAGTTATTTCTTTTTTATATGATATTTTTATTATATATAATAAAAATATCATTCTTTACTAAAAATTCATATTAATTATTAGTAATTATAAGTAATAATATGAATAGTAATAATATTCATTTAATAATAATAATATTCTATTAATACATATCTAAATATATATATCTATTTAGATATGTATATATTAATATATATATTATTTGAATTGATCAATCAATTGGAGGATTCCCTATAAGAATGATACTTAGTAGAATTCGATACCACTTCTTATGTCAATTACATAAATCTCTTATAGTTGTTTTTAACACTTTCGATAAATTTTATAAAACTAAAAAAGGGGGGCTAAAAAAGAGAAGGAAGAAGACAAATCAGAGTGAAATCTTAATATAATTCGACAAAGCAAGAACAGCAAAGCAAGTCCACGGAAAAAGGATATATATATTTATTTTTTTAAGATTAAACTAAACAAAAGGATTCGCAAATAAAAGCGCTAATGCTACAACCAATCCATAAATTGTTAAAGCTTCCATAAAAGCCAGACTAAGCAATAAAGTACCCCGTATTTTTCCCTCTGCCTCTGGTTGTCGCGCAATCCCTTCTACAGCTTGCCCTGCAGCAGTGCCTTGACCAACCCCAGGTCCAATAGAAGCAAGCCCGACGGCCAACCCAGCAGCAATAACGGAAGCGGCAGAAATCAGTGGATTCATGATAAGTTCCTCGCACCCCAAATAAAAAATAAATAATAATAAAGAAAAGAAATAGTTAATGATATAATCAACCAATAAATTATGACTTAATTACTCAATCACCAGGATTTATCCAGTTGAAATAATTAAGAATTCCGAATTGAAATAACAATAGTTATTGAACTATCCAAATTAGTTCGATATTCATTTTTTCTTTTCTATCCACGTAGTTTTTTTGTGAATCCATACAATTTTAGTTTTTATCTTACCCTAAATTTGGAACTCTTCTTTGAATTCTTCGTTCTTTTTTTTTTTGAATTTCTTACTATTCAATTCATAATTAGAGATGAAACGGAAGGACTTTGTTTTTTAAATCCCTATCGAAATTGACAGTAGTAGCAGGGCAATTTTAGATATATAATGTTAGTTTTTTTAGATATATAGTTAGTTCATATATAACTAGTTTATATATAATATCACATATACATGTATTTCTTCCATGCCGTAAACCAATTATTTGTGTTTTAGTTTCAATCAGATTCGAGAATCATTATTTGAAATCTAAAAAAAAAAAGAAGGAGTTGTTTTATAGTGATTGGATTATATATACCCAGTTTGACTTCCCCCACTCCTACTCTATTTTTTTTGAATCTTGGTTTTTTTTTGAAAATCCTTCTTTCATCCTTTTATTATTATCCGATATGGATATACAAAATCGAAATCAATTCGTTAGACTGAATTATTGCAGAGAAATATTGGAATTTGAGTGATAAAAATGTAATTCTTTTTTGAATTATCTTTTGGTCAATCGTTAAATTGAATGTGAATGAATGAAACGGGAATCTGTTCTAGTTCTATATAGCATATTTTTATCACATGTAAATATTATACTTTTCTAATATAGAATATCTAATATACTAATATATCTTAATCGAATTAGATATATATATCTAAATTCTATATATATAATCGAATCTAATATCTAATAATAGTAATAAATAATCTAATAATATATATAGAATAATATTTAATATGTTATAGTTATAATTGAATGAACAAAAAATGGAATGAACAAAACAAAATATAACAATACAAAAAAAAATATTCATTGGAGGAAAATCGAAATAGGTCAAACAAAAAGTCTTTTTAGGAAAACTAGGAAAAAGATCTTTTGGATGGATCTCTTTCCTAGTTTTTTTACAATTTTCTGGTAATCTTTTCTATTTTACTATTACATTAAATTGTATATTGATTTTATTTATACTTTATTGCATCTTTATTTTTTTTGGGGGGGGGGGGGAGAATAACCCTTTTTCTTTATTATTATTCCAAATTTCTTTCTATTATATATGTTGTTCCCAAAATAGATTATCTTGAGCCGCAGTGTATGTGCGGTGGGCTAAACGAAAAAGACTTTTTTCGACAACTAGTCAATGATGGCCTTCCATGGATTCACCTATATAAGCCGCAGCTAAAGTAGCAAAAATAAGAGCTTGAATACCGCTTGTAAATAATCCAAGGAACATGACAGGTATAGGAACTACTAAAGGCACTAAAGAAACAAGAACAACAACTACTAATTCATCAGCTAATATATTTCCGAAAAGTCGAAAACTAAGCGATAAGGGTTTTGTGAAATCTTCTAAGATGTTAATCGGTAAAAGGATTGGAGTTGGTTGGATGTATTTACTAAAATAAGCTAATCCTTTTTTTGAAAGACCCGCATAGAAATATGCTACTGACGCAAGTAAAGCTAATGCAACGGTAGTATTTATATCATTTGTGGGCGCAGCTAACTCCCCGTGAGGTAACTGTATTATTTTCCAAGGCAAAAGAGCCCCTGACCAATTAGAAACAAAAATAAATAAAAACATAGTTCCAATAAATGGAACCCACGGACCATATTCGTCTCCAATCTGACTTTTGCTCACGTCTCGAATGAATTCAAGAACATATTCAAAAAAATTCTGACCAAAAGTGGGAATGGTTTGCAGATTTCGAACAACTAGAATGACTGAAACTAATAAGATAGCAATTACAACCCAAGAAGTAATAAGTACTTGGGCATGCACTTGGAAACCCCCTATTTGCCAATAGAAATGTTGACCCACTTCCACAGCAGATATATCGTATAATCTTTTTAATGTGTTGATGGAACATAATAAAACATTCATATTGTCCTGCCCTCTTAAAAGAAATTGAAATTGAAAGGGAATTATTTTAATTCAACCATCTCCTTTCCTTTTTGATTTGTCTACTTTCATTTTTGATTTTGAATACCGACTAATCACATAATATTTCCGTTTGTTCTTTTTATATTTTTCTCTTTCTTTTGTGCGATTTAGTAATAGTATAATAACCGATTTCATAAATCTATGAATCTCCCCAACCAAATCAAATAATTCATTTATCTTATTATTAATCAAAAATTTCGTATATAGCTAGAACGACCCTCACAAATTGCAAATATTAATTTGTTAAGAATTAATCGGATTGAGGCTATAGCATCATCATTAGCTGGAATCGAAATATCGGCGAGGTCCGGGTCACAATTTGTATCGATTAAACAAATCGTTGGAATTTCCAAAGTTATACATTCTCGAAGAGCCGTATATTCTTCTTGCTGATCGACGATTATTACAATATCGGGTAACCCCGTCATATATTTAATGCCACCAAGATATGTTTCCAAATGAGATAATTGTCTTTTCAATATAGCAGCATCTCTTTTTGGAAAACAGTTGAGTCTCCCCGTCTTTTGTTGCATTCTCAAGTCCCTGAACTTATGAAGTCTCGTTTCTGTAGTATACCAATTCGTTAACATACCGCCGAGCCATTTTTTATTAACATAATGACACCGAGCTCTTATTGCCGCCCGCGCTACTGAATCAGCTGCTTTTTTTTTGGTACCAACAATTAAGAATTGTTTTCCCTTACTTGCTGCGTCAAAAACTAAATCACAAGCTTCTGATAAAAACCGAGCAGTTCTAGTAAGATTTGTAATATGAATACCCTTACGCTTTGCAGATATATAAGGTTCCATTTTAGGATTCCATTTTCTAGTACCGTGGCCAAAATGAACTCCTGCTTCCATCATCTCTTCCAAAATTATGTTCCAATATCTTTTTGTCATTTATATTTATCCCCACACTTTTTTTTTCAAAAAAAAAAAAAAATAGAAAAAAAAAGACCAGGTATCGTGAAATAGAAATAAAAAATTGTTCCGATGGAACCTTCTCTTCTACCGAAGATTGGCCATTGATACATGATTAGACCATTTTTTTCTATTTATTATTCTTTTTTTTTATTATCTTTCTTTTACTACCCCCAAAAATGATCGCATTTAGGGTAGGGGGATGAATCCGCTCTTAGGAATCATTAAATCTTAGATTGTTCTGATGTATCGCATAAATTCTTTGAAATGAAAAAAAAGAATTCTCTGTGGTGGAACAAAATATCTCTCATTTCGTCCTCGAATAAATTTTTCTTTTTTGATTCCAAGGTAATCTTGTTATGTTGCCTTGGCTTTGAACGGTGCATTATTCTTTTTAATCCGGTACCAACGGGTATCATTCCCCCTAAAACAACGTTCTCTTTCAGACCTTTCAACCAATCTATACGACCCCGGAGAGCGGCTTTTGCTAAAACTCTAGCAGTTTCTTGAAAACTTGCTTCAGATATAAAACTTTGAGTATTCAGAGATGTTTTTGTTATTCCCAATAATAGAGCTCGGTAGCAAGTTGCTTCTTCCAAGGCACGGCCCGCTCGTTCGGCTCGCAACAATCCAATTAGTTCGCCGGGTGAAAAAACATTAGACATTCCATTTTCTGAAACCAAGACTTTTGATGTTATTTGACGCACAATAATTTCTATATGTCTATTATGGATGTGAACTCCCTGGGATCGATAAACTTTTTGAATTTTATTAACCAAAGAAATACGACTTTGCGCTATAGTTAACTCGGCACCGATCAAGAATCCCCAAGGAATGCCGAGAATTCTTGTTATATATCCGTTCCAAGTGTCAACTCTCTTTTCTAGCTTCATCGATATTGAATCAATTGAACGCACTTCTAATACCTGTTCTACTTTTGGAAGACCTTGTGTTATATCACCAGATCTCGATTTTTCATATATAAATGTAACTAATATATCTCCTTCATAAAGTATTTCTCCATAATGTCCATGAACAGTTGCTCCTGGAGTTGCCAAATAAGGGTTAGCCGATCTTATTCCTACAGAATCCATTTGAATAGTTAGAACTTGACCCGATTTTAAGTGTGGTGCATTTTTCGTTTGCACTATACATACATTTTCACAAATAAATTGCCCAAGACTTATTATTGGAAACGTTTTTTCATAATAATTGTGATGGATAAAATGCCAATTCAAATAGAATGGATTTAAAACGATATTACTGCATCTATCAGGTTTATAAATTCTCTCATTTTCGTCCATTAAATAATATTTGAATACTTGAAGAGTTTCCTTTAATTTGTCAAGTTGCAAATTATTATTCATTAAGATCTGATTATGAGTTATTAAACGAAAAAATGAATAATAATTTGCAACTTGAAGGGCTATTCCTAAAGGACCAAACAAATTCTTAATTGGAATTATGGAATCTATTTGAATTTTTTGAATTCCTTCTTTTATCCCATTGTAATATTTTCTATCGTTGAATGGTCCTATTTGAAAACAATTAGATGATGACAAAATTATCAAAGATCGACATTTCTCATTTCTATTCAACAACATACGAATAGTTCCGTGATTTTGTCTAAGTGATTGTTGAATTTTTGCCTTCGAATAAATAGAAAAAAATGGATTGATAAAGGTCCGATCCGACTCATTATCTGAGATCAATCCTGAACTGGACGGATCATTTCTTTTTCTGATATATGAAATATGAGATTTCACTAAGTCAATTCTTAGGAAATCCCTAATCAAACCATTTGTACTTACTTGAACAAAAGAAGCGTGGGCATTTTCGATAGAAGAACTTGTTTTGTCTTGATCCCAATTCAAGACTAAACAAGTCCGAACTAATTGAATCCTTGTATTAGAAATTCCCGGAATTGATTTTCCATTTCCAGAAAGAATATAATTAATAACTTTAAGTTCCAGATCATTTCTTTCCTGGAACCTATCTTGGGGAAAAAGTTTTACTAAATGGATACCGTCCGCTATTTCATATAGAATTACGGGTCGAACCAAAACAAAATACTTTTTTTTGGTAATTGTGATCCATTGGACATAGATCCAATTTTTCATTTTTTTTGCTTCCTTTGAATTTTGTTTTACCGTTCCGGATGGTATCAAGATGGCACTGTGTCGGGATATCTTATCCATCTCTCCAGTAAAATAGATATCCCCGGAAAATATTTTTACTTCAATCTTTTTTTTTTTCTTCTCCATTTGGACCAATCCACCTACTCGACTTCTTATATTTAAAGTTATTGGTGTATCTACTCCAACGATACTATTGTTCCGTATCATTATGGAAGAAGATTCGGGTAAATATGCACTTCCTCGGGAATGAAAAAAAATCGATCTACTTTGATTTGGTATTTTGGCTTAAATTCTTTAACTCCTTGATACTCAATTAAAAAATCCTCTTTTTTAAAAATGGAATTTATTCCTATAGTCCTATATTTTGTAATTCCTGAACTCTGCGTTCGGTATTGAGGATCATCGAAATAAGCAAGAATACTATTTCTACGAAAAATACCATTGATTGGTATTTCAATCGAGATACCGGAAGGGGACATTAGTTCTTTGTCTCGTTCTTGAATCGATTGGAATGGAAATGGAATGATGAATCTATTTCTTCGCCTCTTTGCTAATAAATCCGAAGTGTCATGGAAAATAGCAAGATGTGTAAAATGACAATAATCCATACATATGATTTGATTCAATATTGAATAATCAGGAATCCTTCCTTCTTTTTTACCAGAAAGATTGAAACTAAAGAATTTATGTCTTACTTGTTCATTACTTACTAAAAGGTTACAAATATTTCTTTCTCCAGTAGAAAGAGAATGAATGTTCATTTGATCTTGATCCTTGCGGAGTGAAAAAGAGACTGAACCGACCCTGTACGACTTTCCTGATAATATCCATAAATGACTTGTTTTTGGTAAGATATGGACATTACTATATCTAAATTCTGATGCATGGTATACATCGGTACTCCAATGCATTTCTCCTTCTGAGTCAGAATAAACATGTTTTCGAACCTTTTCCTTCAAATTCAAAGTGTATGTTCCCGCACGAATCTCAGCAATCACTTGTTCCGATTTTACATATTGATCATTTTGAACTAATAAAAAACTTTTTGGTGGAATAATCACATTATGTATAATATCGTCACTTTCAATAGTTACATACAAGTTTATAGAACATAGAAAAGCAGGATGCCCATGACGTGTACGTGTAGGATGAACCAAATCCTCATTGAATTTAATTTTTCCATTAGAAGGCGCTCGCACATGTTCCGCAGTACCCCCTGTGAATACTCCACCGGTATGAAAAGTTCTTAATGTTAGTTGAGTACCCGGTTCTCCAATAGATTGACCCGCAATAATACCTACAGCTTCTCCTAATTCCACTAAGTGGCCATGAGTAGGACTTTGGCCATAACATAATCGGCAGATCCAAGATGTATTCCTACAGGTAAAGGGGGTTCGAATAGATATTGGTTGTGTTTGAAAAGTTTTGAATCGATTGATAAGTCCAATTCCAATATCTTGATTTCTAACAGCAATGCATCGTGAACCTCTGTATATATCGTCTGCTAATACACGACCAATTAATGTTTGTATCAAAATTATTTCCGGCATCATTCCATTCTGGATATTCACCGAAATCCCTTGAATGGTACCGCAATCTGTTCGACGTACAACAATGTGTTGAACCACTTCAACAAGTCTGCGTGTAAGATATCCAGCATCCGATGTTCGTACAGCAGTATCTACAACCCCTTTACGGGCTCCGTAGCAAGAAATGATATATTCTGTTAAAGACAGTCCTTCGCGTAAATTGCTTTGAATAGGTAAATCAA